TTTTTTTTTTTTTTTTTTTTTTTTTTTTTTAACATGGAGGTGCTACTCGATTAATAAAAGGTAACTGTAATTACCTCCTCACACAAAGGCCAGGCAGTTGGAGGGTGACGGGAATCATGGAAACCTGGCTGAGAACTGGTAAATTAGTCAATTAGCCTGTTTTATATTGCAAGCTTTTACTTACCAGACTGCAGACTTTATTAAAGGGTTAATTTAAACCAACTGGCTTGGTGAAAATAGGTTTTATTTCATGTTAATTTTAATTGCAGTTTTAACAAGCAGTGCAAAAATATTAATAAAGAGTTACTGAAAACTTGACATATAGCTACCAAAATTCAAAATCAATGTGTAGCCCCAATTCAGTGGGACTCAATATAGGCATAAATAGTATAATCTTTTAGCTCACACCACAGATCAGGGCTGAAATCACTTCTACATTTAATCATACTAAACACTGCAGGTCAACTTCTTCCCCTTCAATAAGCATTTGCATTCAAATACATTTCACTGATAACTAGTTATCTAACATAATAATTTGATGTTACTATAATTAACCATAATAACTACAGCAATCAAAAAATACTTTCACTTTGGAGATCCTTATCATTTGTTATTAATTCTAAATTGAGCTCTATTTCTTTAAAATAATGGTAGTGTCACACAAGTCAATTACTGGGAACAAAACCTACCTATTATTACAACTGGCAGAGTCAGTAGCTGGTCCCCAGGCAGAGTGCTTTCTTCTAATAAAGGCATTCTTTTAACTTTCCTCTCAAAGCTATCACCAAAATACTGCACGAAGGAACTTAAAAGTTGTCCTTCAGTTTCAGCACCACTGTAATTTCTATTCATGAGTTAAAAAGAAAGAAGAAAGAAAACACAAGATCAGTTTAGCATTACATCTTCTTCAAAAATTAAGTTACATTTTACTTGTTACTTTCAAACTATCCATCTGACAAACTCTAAGAAAAGACAAAAAGTAAAGCATATGCTATCAGTTCACATACAAAATGTTATTCTTCAGAACAGTTTCTCTACATGGTCAATATTCCTTTTTCGCTACTAAAAGAAGAAAACTATTTCTCGAAGAAACCATATAAAAAGTTAGGAAGCAAGAAGGACCTTGATTGAACATTTCTCTCATTCAAATCCATCATTTAATCTATCACTTCTTCCTCACTCTACCCCTGAAATATCAAGAGTCTGACCCATATGGACATTTAGAGATTTTTATATTTCATTCATTTTTTACCAGATTGAGAGCCCATAAATGCATTACTTTGCAATTATTTATATAGTCAGAGGATATCCTGTCACCAACACTTACCCATCACTTGTAAAACATACATGCAAATTACAACTCCAATTTAGTCAAAACAAAACTTATTTAAAAAGTCAGCTGAACCTCTAATGAATGTACAAGGACTTCAAGTTGTGCAGTAGACAGAAATAGCAAAAAAAAGCCCCAAACAAAACCCACACAACCTCCTAAGTATAAACCTTTTAGCCTTGTAAATTGTTTGGGGTTTTTGTTTTTTTGTTTTAAATCATGTCCAAGCTGGAAACTTACACTACAAAATATATCAGTCTCAGCTAAAATTTGCTTTGAGTCCTATTTACATTGTCCAGAGCTTAAAATGTGCATCTTTTCCAGCTCATCATAGAAGCAATTAAAATTGTTAAGCATTGGCTTTTTAACTTTCTGAATACTTTAAGAAGTCACTTCAAAGAACAAACTTATGCTTCCAGATTACTATAACAGGACAGGATGGCACCAGCCCTTTGCAATGGTTCCTATACATCCTCCTAAAATGGATCCTGTATCACCGTTTCAATCAACTACCATCACTCCACAGTAAAATTTTGTCTCAGATCCTGCAACTAGTCCTATTCAAGTCATAAGGCCAGCTGCATGCTTCAATATGTGCAAGAGTGTTTTCAGAACTGGGGCCATGAAGTTTAGATCCAAATCCAAGTCACATACTTTAAGGTACTGAATTAGGGCATAAACTATTAACTCTTGTACCACTAAGGAGAGCCCCTCTCCACCTGATTTCTTCAGCAGAGAAACTAAAAGATAGATTAGAAGCACATCCAAAACATTTTGGAAGAGAAGCAACAAGTAGTAGCATACAGATGTATTTCACTTGGAATGAAATGCAAAAAGCAAACTAGCTTTACCCCACCCTTCCTGCAATAGCATAATGCTGCAGTGTTTGATTTGCAAATCCTGCAAGAAGCATCAGTCAAGAAAAAAGTCATTCCAGATACCTTTTTAAAAATTATATGAATACTTTTTCTCATTTAAAATTTTATAAAAAACTTTCATAAGAGGAAAAAAATTAGCTAAGAACAAAAAATTAACTGGTCATCTCTCTTTAAATGCAAATAAAGTATCCTCTCCTATGTTCCAGGTACAGAATGTTAAAAGTAATAGTATATAAAGAATGAGGCACATGTATATGTATGTATAAAGTGCAGAATAAGACAAACATTCTTTACTAAAATTCAGATGTATGCATTGTATCAGATGGTCCAAAGTTTTAAAATTTCCCATCAAAAGGGCAATAATGTTATTCAAAAGAAAGCACTTCAGTAAGAGTCTGGAGCACTACTGTCATTGTGCCTTATGCTATAAACTACGTGAAATGTTTTTTTCTTTTTGGTTCTGTATCCTTTCAGAAACAGAGTAATACATTAACACAGAAATAAAAGCATTGCTCTTTAATTTTAAGTATTTAGAGTACGTAACTAAGTGCAGCTTCTGTGGGGTAAAAAATCAATTGTGTGTGAAGAATGTAGGACAAAACAGCTGACCTGCAGAAGCCATAAGAAGGGAGAAAATAAACAATACAACCAACCCAACACTTAATTCCACACCCCATCTAAATGCTACTCATCAAATCTTTCTAACCTCATGCAACTCCCATGACCAACACTACATACATCTCCATCCTGAACAAAAGGGGATCAAGGATGCAGAGGCATCCACGTGAGGAGGGAGGCAAGTGCAATCTGTGGGGGTTGCTTGGGTCTGGGATGGTTGGGTGGGATAATGGACCTTGTGGGAACCAGGAGCTATTTTTGGTCCCACAATGAATTTACACCCCCATCTCTCCTGCCCTTCCCCATACTGAGACTTACTGGTACAGGTCCTGGCAGCAGCAAACACTGATAAATCTAGCACCTGGAGCAGTGTGCAGGATGGGGGCAAAAATAGCCCAGTGCCAGGCAGAAGGGGTCTGAAAAGCATAGGGTGCAGCTGGGCTTTCCCAGTCTGGGAGTGGCGCAGGTAACTGTACAGAAGTCATGCCCTGGTCTAACCTGCATCAAGTAAGTTTGATATTATATCAAACTAGGTCCATCTTAGACCAGGTTCTGCAATTTTTAGACTGGTCTATGTGCGTAGAACTTCTGTATAGTTTTGGGTTTGGATTGAGTTCCGGATCAGCTGTAAAGTCCACATCGAAAAGAATCAAGTTACATCAGAAGGCCATTTTGAACTTAATTTAACCTCCCCGTCTGCACTTAGCCTTAGACTTCCTATTGTTGCCTGGAGGTACCTCTCTCCACATCCTAGTTTCACTTCCCAGTCTTCCTTTTAGACCTCTGCATTGAGCAACAAAAATATGATATTGCCAGCAGACTCTCATCAAGGAATCTGTCCAGAGATCAGAAAACCAGTAATTCTGACAGAGGGAAAATAACTGTCTAACTGTAAAATTTCTGTCCATCTCTTCCCTGTGATTTTATGTGATTAGGAGAACTCTATCTGAAGGCCAACAGGTTGCAGAGGGAGAGCAGTGAAATTAACAACAGGTAACAAAAATGATGCAAGAAAACAAAAGTAAAATTCCAGGAGCAGAAAAATTAAGTTCTTCAGTTAGTAATAAACACACAGAAAATTGAACTGGTCTCTGAAAAATTCTGCTGTCAAGTCAATTTGAATGTAGTCTTCAGTGCAAAACAATGTTAGTCCAACTTTCAAAACAAATCTCAGTGAAATCTTCACTACTACCACCAAATTTCTAAGATTAGATATAACACATGATCTGAGTCAAAAGAACAGGATAACCTAAAAGTTACAAAAATATATATAATTAACCAAGATTATATATAAACAATGCTTTGGAGAAGGTGGATTTACTAATGTAGCTATGGCTCTGCTCAGATGAATACAAAGACAAGCTAGTAGTAGAATTAGTGCCTACCTTGTATTGTTATGGTTACACCAAAAAAAACACCTTGCACCAATTTTAAATCAGATAGATTAAGATCTGGTTTTGTATTGCTTACAAATTAATACTTTTTGGTTTACTACCTTGATTTCTTTTAAGAGATTTGGATAAAAACCTGTAAGAGAAAATGTTAAAAGTAATTTAATTAAGATTTTTCCAGAACAAAGAACAGTTGTCTTAACTTGCATCAGTAAGCCTGGAAAGAAATGCAGATGAAAGATTACTCAGTGGTTATGAAGTACACAGGAAACATCACATTTAGGCCACTCCTTAGAACAGACAACTCCAAAGATCCCAATGCAAGTCCTTACAAACACACAGATAATACCTGTCTGCCCAACAGGGTATAGTGGTTCTCAGCCTCTTTAGACTCAATGCACCCCTTGAAAAATGCCAGCTCTCAGTTTTCACTCATTATTCGAGTACAGAAAAATATATAGCACAACTCTTCCTTTGCAAAGAATTCAGAAAGACCTTAACAAGTCAAAATGTTTTAAAACACAGTAGTTTCCTATTCAAAACCTCTAGGTTCAATCTTGTGAAACAAGGTTGCACGCCTAATGACTGTTAACACTGCAGCACCCCAAGGCAACACCCCTGAAAGGATCCAAAGGCACCCCAGGATACCACAGCAATCTGGTTGAGAATCACTGGTTCGGCAGATATGCTTGTCCTCAGATTTAAAGTTTGCATAAAATAACACTAACACACCAACAAAACACACCTAAAACATCTCACTCAAAGTGCACAGTTGGTGTTTTGGTTGTTATGGGAAGGAGAAGGAAGAGATTCATCACTGTGGGACCCTGACACTGCTGTGAAGAAACCTGATGTAAAAACAGCATTAAACTTAGGTTAAGATTACCCTTTTTTCCCTGTAATACTTGCAGCAGGCAACAGAGGGTGGAGGGTGGGGACAGGAAATCAGGAAAGTAAAACCAAAGGGCATTTCTAACAGTCAGCAAGGGTTTTCATCGCCTCCCAAGTCTTTCTTTGTAAGTATTTAACTAACAGGTAAAAGTATATCCATCTCTAGATAGATATATCCACCAAGCCCATTTTAACCCAAAGTAACAGGTCAATTATATATTATGATATACAATTTGTACCTTGGTCGTCCAACATACCTCAGTTTTCTTTGGCCTCAGGTAATGAATCTTTATTCCTAAGCGGGGCTTTGGAGAAAACAGTTATCATTCTTATATCTTATTCATAACACTGTATTATTCATGATGTTAATA